TTCGCCAGCAATTGGTTGCAAAGACAAAAGAATTAGCAAAACTTCTTGATACACTGGACATTGACGATAATGCCTCTGGTTTTAACCTACAATTTATATTAATATCAGTTATAACATGTGACAAAATCCAAAACATAGTAATGTTAAACCGTTATGTTGGCATCACTACTTTAGACATCTAAAGCAAGCAAGTTATTCTTTACTATTAAAATATATATATAAAGTGATGAAGAATCTGCTTACTGTCAGAATCACTATTCTGATCACTAAATTTTTTTTTAAGAATTCAATAATTAATTTTCATATAGTACTACATATAGTTTTGATTTATATAGTTGACCAAACACTTCATTTGGTCACGATATTGGTAAATAAATTCAAAAACATCACTTTTTAAATAAAGACAGATCTAAAATAACTTCACGATCTTAAAATTGATTTTGTATCTAATTAAATTCCTTTACATGACACATTATCGATATTAAATGCGACTACTATAATATCGATATCATTGTAAAAATGCAACAAACGAATTCAGTAATCTTTAAAATCTACAAAAAAGGATAATTAATAATAAAATGTATACCATAAGTTATCTGCAATACCTATTGGCTCCACGCTATTGCGATTCCTTCAATCAACATAGAAGTTTGAGTAACCTGACAACTTTTTCACTTCCCAATATGACAGTTACAATTTATACGTATGCATTAAGCACGTACCGAATCCGTGACAGGTTATGTCGATCATCGCTGATTGTGGCCAATAAAATCACAAGAGCTCATGTAACTTAAAAAAAAATTAGAAAAGCAAAATAACTCAAGATTTTACTAGGATAACCAGTTTGACTTCTAAATAAAAGTTTTCAGCACGAAATTTTAGTCATATAAAAAACATTTTTAAATACCGAATGTTAAGTAAATTAAAGCCTGCGTTAAATTCTGATCTTTGTGCTCTTTCGATTTGGTAATCGTCACAGATTCAGTGCGTGCATAAATTAAATGACATTATTTAAACAAGGACGCAATTTCAAGTCGTACGTACGTTAAAGCTTTTTTTTTGAGTTGCATTAATGGATATTACAGTAATTGTCCGGAGCGTAGCAATTTTGACAGGGCGCAGGATCGATTTTGCTGTCACATGATTCTCGGAAGACAAATGCTGCTAAGTTAAAAACTTCTTTTATATTTGAGTTAGAGTTTAGGGTAAGGTTAGAAAGGACTATAGTATAGCAAAATTACACAGGGAATTTTTTTGTTAAGACTCCAAAGATGGTTTACTAGACTGAATTTTGAGATAAATGCGATTTTTGAAAAGCGAACGTTTGTTTTGGATTTCTTTACGTCACACCTCTGATATATGTCGGAAAATCATGTGACAGTAAAATCGATCCTACGTCCTGGCGTAGCGGAGGACACTGTTTTTACGAGAGCAAGTGATCACGTGATCAAGTGATGATTTCCATCTGTCATTTCCATGATTTGATTGATTTGATTGGCTGATTGACTGAATAGATGATCACTCAACGCAAAAATGTAATAAGCTCTATATTACCTAGCATACAGTACAATGTAGGGTTAACATTCGGGAAATTCTAAATTTGCGGGTTTTTTCCGAAACTTTCAGGCTTACTAGACTTGCCTATCTGAGCAATTGCAGTAATAGGGAAAGTGTACTTTAAAAAGGACTACATCTTTCTTTTTTTACAGATTTGTTTAATCAATACAATCAACCCTCCGTAAATGCATCCCTTTTGGGACTATAGGCAAAATTTTTCAAAAATAAAGGTGTGCATTTATGAAGGGCATTTTATTAGTGCTTGATATGTTTGGGACTGAAGGTTAGTGTCTTTTAGGGAGGGTATACATACTGTATTGGGGTGTCACCAATTTGTTTAATCATAATAAGGATTTTGTGCCGGCTCTTTCTTAATAATAAAAACATATAAAATTTAAATGTTAATAACTTCTAAACTACAAAATTTGTACATGTAAAATTATATTTATTGAATTCCTCTTCATGCTCTTTAAAATAATAGAGCTATTTTTCATTCTTCATATAAGTTAAAACGAAAACCGATTGTTACAATCTAATTTATTCTAAAAAAACCAAGAGCACTATTACCTTAAAGAAATATAATTTACATGTACAAATTTAGTAGTTAAACTAATTGGTGACACCCTAATATTGTATGCATTTATAATATTTTCTATGTATAGCATTGTACAGTGTAAAAAATTATATATATTCAATAGTTTCTAAATTCTTGCCTTCATTTCATATTACTTTTCCCTTAACAACATGTCGAGTTACATTTTTTTAACTATTTTAACTCTTATTTCGATAATGAACTACCCTGTTCTTTTCGCTCAGGGATGCACTCAAGATTCAGATTGTTCTAATGGCGCTACTCCCCTCGGTCCTGGTGTTGGTCATTGTTATAATGGCCAATGTTATCTGTGTTATAATAGCTGCGTTTATAACACTGTATGTAGTAAGTTTGCCTCTCCAACTTTTGCAGCTGTATGTGCTTCCGATGTCAATTGCATTGTCAATCCCCCTCCTCCTCCTGGTGTTTCTAATTGTTGGTGTTGTAGTGGTCCCGCAGCTACAACTTCTACATCCGCAAAAGCTAAAACTCCTACAACCGCAAAAGCTAAAACTTTTACAACCACAAAAGCTAAAATTTCTATAACCGCAAAAGCTAAAACTTCTACAACCACAAAAGTTGCTACTACTATTACTTCTACTATTACTTCTACTAGTACTCCTACTATTGCTTCTACTATTACTTCTACTATTGCTTCTGCTATTACTTCTACTATTACTACTATACCTACTCCGGGATGCACTCAAGATTCAGATTGTCCTAATGGCGCTACTCCCCCCGGTCCTGGTGTTGGACATTGTTATAATGGCCATTGTATTCTGTGTTATAATAGCTGCCTTTATGGTTCTGTATGTCAGAGTTTTGCCTCTTCAAGTTTTGCAGCTGTATGTGCTCCTGATGTCCAATGCGCTGTCAATCCTCCTCCTCCTCCTGGTGATTCTAGTTGTTGGTGTTGTAGTGGTTTATGATTGTTGTATTCCAATAATATGTCGAAGTAAAAAGTTGGATGTGCTTTTAATTTCAAGAGTTTTTTTTGATTATATACAAGTGTTAGTAGGGGGCGCCGCTGGCGCCCTTAAATATAATACGAAACTTAACTAATAAATTCTGAAAATTTCAATTTATTATACGTAGTACTTGCTCACCATCTTGATCATTTACTAATCATGCTGTGTTAACCGAATTGTGATAATTTTAAAGTTACTAACCTATTTACTTCTAAAATCAGAAACTTATCCAATATTGAATCTAGTGCTGCGGGCGAAACCCAAAAAAGGAAATTATAACAATGCACTTGATTATTAATTATTGTCATAATTTCCTTTTTTGGGTTTCGCCCGCAGCACTAATTGAATCACAAACTCATCTACTACTGAAATCACTAACACGCAAATTACTAAAATTGTAAATTATTTATTATTAATACCATAAACCAACTCACTGCTGAAGTCACTATTAGATCCATTAACTTACCTATTACAGTATTACTATAATTCATTCGCTATTAATTATTAACTTATACACGAACTACCTCTTTGAAATGTTTGCAGGATGATCGATTATTTTCAAATTTTGCAAATCTAAGTCACATTATTGATATCCACTTTTGTAATCATGAATTCACTCGCAGTTAATGTCATGAAATTACAAAATTATGAACCCATCCGATGTTGAAATCATGAGTTATTGCTAAATCTAAACCTACAGTCGGCTTCAAAAGTTTATCACTGTTACACAAAAACAACTCTCGATATAGGAAGCCTTTGATATAAGAAGCTCTTGGCATAAGAAAGTTTCTACCAGTTTCAGTCAAAAATTTATATTTTTTATATAAGAAAGTTTGATATAAGAAGGAGTTTGGCTGGACCCGGTGACTTTTTTATATCAAGAGTCAGTTGTATTCATTAATATTTTGTATATATTTTGTGTAACTGATAAACTTTTGGAGTTGACTATGCACACTCTTGAAATTGCAAACTGGACTGCATACTATTAAAACTATTAAAATCACGAACCTGCCATTGAAAATTACTGATTTAAATGATGAATCCACCTACTGTTGAAGTTATAAGTTGCCAATTATCGATATTAACCCTATAGTTGGTGGTAGAATTACTGAATTACGGCATTACGGCATTACGGCATTACGGTATTCTACCATATGGTAGAATTAATTACGGCATAGCATCTAATTGCCGTAATTATGTGGAGGAGCCAAAATTCGGAAAATCGACCAAAATTCTGGATCGGTATACATCGGAACGTTTCAGCATTACTTATTACGACCTGTTTCCGATGAATTCCGATCCAGGCTTTTGGTCGATATGCTTAATTTTGGTTCCGTATTTATAATTGCGGCAATTACGGCAAAAAATACGGCACGTGCCGTAATTCGATAATTTTCAAAATTAATTCTACCGCCAACTATAATTAACCCTGGGAAATTGTAAACCCATTTACTGCTGAAATCACTATTGCTAAAATTGTAAACCAATCTACTGATAAACTAATAAGACTACACTGTTAAAATTGTGAATCTACTCAATGTTGAAATCACCAATTCCTACTATTAAATCACTTACTCACACACTGTTAAAATCACTAAAAACTTACTAATGAAATCGTGAACCTACATATTTTTCAGATTTAACATTCTCAATCCTGTTCGATAAGACTTTCAATTGCCGGTAAGGTTCTCGGCATGACTTTGTGCTGAATTTACTAAAGTATCTCGGTATACCAAAATTACTTTCAGAGCCATCTTATAAAGTTAACATGGCTTAATTTACAAAAAAAAAAGAAAGGTAGCGTAAATAATGCGTAAAGTTTAATAAGCCCAGATATGTTGTTTAAATACGATCTTTATATTTCAGCGTAATAATTACAACAGTATACATAAATATTGGAACACCTAAAAAATTGATCTTTTCCCGAAATCTTTTAATTTTGTTCTAATTATAATCTATCTTTTCAAAAACTGCATCGATGCCACTAGGCCTATGTTTTGAGTGCATCGATGTAGTTTCTGAAAAGTTTGGTTACGATTAGAAAAATATCGAGGAGATTTTGGGAAGTGATAAATTTTTAGGTGTTCCAGAATTGTCGTTATGAAAACTGCTGTAATGTTAAAAAGCAACCGAAAATTTAATCTTTTTGCAAATGCAAAAGATTTCGCGGTCATAACGATTCGGTAATTATGTTGCATAACATGCACATGACAAATCACCAGCTTTATGAATTTTCTCATAGTCATGAGACTTAAATTTGCACGTGAACAAAATGATTGGTAAAAATGTGCAGGAGATTTGTGGCAAATGATAATTCTATAATACAGTAAATAACGATAGTAGAGGATATCAAAAAAATTTGCGATGCATACTTGGATCACATTTTATGATGCGACTAACCCAAAACAGTAAAGGTGGTAGCTTATTTCACAATACGTATCACGTGAATACCCCGATTTGGAAAGTTTACCCACATTTACAGCCATCGTTGAAAAAACTTTTGTAACTCTAATTCTAACAACAACCATTTCAATATGACCATATTTAGGAATAAATTTGAATCAAGAACGTAAATATTTTAAAGAATTGTTTAATACAATAATATTATGTTTGTTGGTAACGTCATTGGTTCATATTCGGATGGACGGCAAACTCCTAAAAAGAAAATAGCCAATCAGTGAATTCAAATTTTGATCGTTCCGGATCAGCCCGACATGAATTCCGAATGCGTGTAAAAGGAAAAGCGAAAAAATCTCAAAAACTAGTGTTTAAACCAGCCTTGGTGTACTAATTAAAAATGACGGAAACGAAATTTTACATATAATGAACGATAGTCTATCGCTATAGCCTCGAATGTTAACGTTCCAACCCTAAATACGTGTTTTACGCACTTTGTTTATTTATAAAATCAAATTTCCTTTTTGGATTGTATTACCGACACAAATGGGTCATGGTCTAGCAAAACCCTTTTCTCACGTATATTTTGATTTTTGAAAAAAATAATAATTAATATTTGTGAAACCTAAATTTTACCCCTGAATTTTTGAGTTATTTTTAGATATATCGGTAATTTATACAATGTCATGTGACTATAAAGTAAAAATAAAATTTAATAAATGTATATATTTTTTAATAATAAATTTTATATAGATATAATATTTATAATGTCTTTATTTGAAGATAAAAAAAATATTAATTTTTTATTATATAATAATTTTATTGAACAATTAGATTTAAAAGATTATAAAAATAATAATTTTTTTTTTTTTAATATTAAGGTGAGTACATGTGACTTAGGATTTTATTGATAGTATAAGTTAGTCAGCACCTGTACATATACAGACATAGAGGCAATTACAGAAAGAGTGTACAACTAGGCATACATACAACTTTAGTTATTGTCTAATTTAAGTAGTTCACCTGAAGGTTTTATACTAGTTGCTATACCTAGAACCCATCTGTAGATTCTCTATTTAAACACTCTGATTCTGCATCCACCACATCCTACTAATGATTCCAGTAAACTGGTAAAGATATGTCATAATCACTAAGTTATATTTAACTTTGTACTAAACCTACCAGTGCATTCTGTATTTATACTTACAGCTCATCTGGTCACACTTTGGTCTAAACCATCACTTGCAGTCAAGGTTAACTATTAAACTGCTTTTATCTTTATAAGGTTCACTCAAAACCCTAGTATTCATTTTTCTAACATCTTTTTTATCATCCCTTACTAACCATATTCAGGACTGACAGAACTCCTCAGACTTTCAATCCAGATGGCCTGATATAGTATATCTTAGTATCCTTTTTCTTCAGCAATTCTGGTGGCCTGGTTGGTCATATGCTCCTTTATATATCTTGTCATTTAGTTTATCTGTCTATTCTTTTGAAGGTGTTTCATAGGCTTCATCAGTCCAACAGTACTGTCAAAAGTTTTGTGCTACCTTCTTACTTGGAATTTCCAAGTAAGTTTCTAACTCTTCAGTTTCTTTACTTTCTGCATCCAATGGTCTTATTATGGGTTTGCACCAAAGTCTTATGCAACACCAGTTATTGATATTTTTCTATATAGGTGTAATATTACACTTAGCATAAATGCTCTGAGCTCCCATTCGAGATGATGCAATAAAGGTTACAGATACATCAATCCAACTAATTGACAAAGACAGTTACCATAATACAGACCTATTTTTCAAAATTCGATGTTCATGGAATTTGAACTCTAGATCTGCCACTTGGAGGTTGACTATCTGACCACTTCACTAGATTGCCACACCCCTTATAAAAATAATAATTTAGTACAAGAAGTTATACAAAATTTATAAAAGTTTTTCAATCTAAAAGTTGCACTTGTAAAAATAATAAAAAACAGCAATGTTTTAAAAAAATTGGTTTTAAACAATTTTTTAAAAGACATCTGCAATATCATAAATTAAATAAAAAAGAATTAGAATTAGTTTTAATAAGTCAACTTATAGCATTTAAATATAGTTAAACAAATAAAAAAACTAATTCTAAACAACAATTTAATTATCAATTTAATGCTAGTATTAAACTTTGCAAAAATACTTATCTTAAATTAGTTAGAATTAGAAATAACAATCTTATTTGAATTAAAAAAAATCTAGAAAATAATAAATTAGTTGAATGAATTTATGAAAATACAAAATAAATGCCAATTTTTAAAAATCAAATAATAATTAATAAAATAATATCATTTTTAATTCATAGATTTATTATTAATTATGCTAATGTTAATAGACTTCTTTTTTCAGAATGACATTTACAGAATGATACACAATCAATTATTTATTTACCAACTGAAAAAATTATACTACAATATATAATTTTTTTATTAAATATCTTAATGCTTTTTTAGAAAAACTATTTAATACAATTGGCTATAAAAGTTTTATTTTTTTTTTTTTTGGTATTAAGGTAAGGCTTTGCTTATATCTTTATTAGTAATTTTAGTTGTATATATTAATATATTACATATTAAGATATACTAAGGTTGTATAAACAAAATAAAAACTACATACAAGAATGAAAGCTCAGACTATTTTATCTGCAACCTAAACTAACTAGAGTGGTCAAAGCCCACCTAGATTTGTTATACTTATATGAATCTAGGTAGGTTTGATCTAAATTATATAAGTACTTTATAAAGAATCTATAAAGTATAGATAATATGTAATTTGTTTAGTATAAATATAAGGAATTGCTAGTCATTTGTATAAATATGTTAATTTTAAGTAAGATGATAGGATAAAAAAATTGTAGTTGATAAGATAATTATGTTATAAAAATAAATTTAAGTTTATTAATATTGTTATTATTTAGAATTGAGTTTTAAAGAATTTTGTAAGGATAATACTAGTTAAGGATCTAAAAAAAAAGAGAGAATTTGGTATTTCTGGTACTTTAAATTAAGAAAAAAAGAGATCTGTAGAAATTTTTGGTATATTAAGTTTTTTAGAGATATATTGTATTGCTTGTAATAAATAAAATTAATAGTATTTAAATTGAAGTTCAGAAATAGGAGTATTAAAGAATTGTATAATATCAAAATATGCTATTATTTGGACAAAAGTATGTAAATCAGTAGTTTTAGTGAAGGTATTTTGGAGAGTATTTTTGAGATTAGAATTATTGATATTATCATTTTTTGTTGCTAAATTTAAAATATTATTTAATATAAGTATAATAAAAAAAGGATTTATGTTTGAAATTTGTAGGTATATTATTAAGTTAAGTAAATTGTTGTTCAGCAGTTTGAGCAAGTTGTTTAAGAGTTTTAAATGAAAGAGGTTTGGTAAAAGTTGCAGCTAAGGCTTGGTTTTGTTTAAAAATAGAAAAATCTAGGTTTGGATAAATATAGTTAGAAGAAATAAAAGAGAATTTAAATAATTTTGAAAATAAAAGAATGTCAGGTTATGAAAAATATGTGGAATATTTTGAGGAAGAATATTATATTTGTTATTTGTACATGTATATATATAATGTAGAGAAGCTTTAATTAAAGCTGTTATTCTTTCTTATAGTGAGTTTAGTATAGGAAAAGAATAAGACTTTGGAA